GCGGAGCTTATCCACCATTTCGGCGATCAACGGCAAGGGATAACGATTTTTGACCGTGATCGCGTTCAATCGGCGGTACGTCCTGTACGGGTCGAAGCGTCCCTTCCTTCTTCTTGATGAAGAAAAAGGGGGATGAGATTGGCGACTTCGACTCCCGTATGTAGCCCTTCGCTAACTGCTCCTTTAGGAACTTGTCCAGTTCCTCCTGCTCGTTGCTCGACAATGGGTATACCTTTGAATGGAACGTGGAGTAGCCGGGCACGAGTTCGATCGCATGATCGTACGGCTTTCTTTCGGGTAGCCGTTCTGATGCTTCCTTCGAGAAGACCTTCAGAAACTCGTGGTACTGTTTGGGTACCGACTCCTCGGCGGTCTTAACGACCTTCTTCTTGATCTCTTCCTCGGCGAACAGCTGGGAATACGTGTGCCCTGCTGCGACGAACAGCTGAGGGGCGCCGGGAAGCGTGATACCCTGCTCCCAGGCTTCGATCAAGTCAGTCTCATCCCATTCCACTTCCACCGAATCTTCTTCGGGTTCGAAGTCCGGGAGCACCTTGCTCCGGCAGGCACCTATGACTGACCGTTTGGACTTCGGCGAACGCCTGCGCGCCGTGGGCCTGACCCCCGTATCACGCGCAGTTGCTGCTTGCTCCATTCGGCCAGTCCTCCTGGCGCTACACGTTTCAGGGCATCGCGACAATTTGAGGGAGCCCTTCTCCCAATCTATTTCGGGGTTGTGCTCGCGCAGCCAATCCAACCCGACGATCACATCCTCTGGACCGATGTCCGTGACCGTAAACACCGTCTTCTCGACGTGTTCTCCTATGTGCATCTGTAGCACTGCTACTTCTGAGATGCTCCCGTCTCTATTTAGGGTGCCGTCGATATTGTAGAGCGGAATCGGCTCTTTTAGCTTCCGCGTCTGCACCTTATTTTCTTCAATGAATCGCTTGTTGATGAACTTCGTGGTGGCTCCGCTGTCCACCATAGCGATTATGTCTTTGTGCCGTCTTTTCCCTTGAAGTCGTACTGGGATGTGAAAATGTTGGGACCCCTGGTCCAATTCGTACACCATCGCAGTAGACAATACATTATACTTGTTACAAGATGATACTCGCGGCCCGACGCGTGCGGCACGAAGCGCGGACCGGATCAAAAACCCTCCTCCTTCATCGCCCGATAGTGCTCGAGCTCCTCGCGCATCGACTTCACCTGTGCCATTAAGTCCGCCAGCTCCGATTGCTCGGATTTCGCTGAAGCGGCACTTATACTTGCCGAGGGTGTTGTCGTGACGGGGGCGCTTGTCGCAGCCTGGGTGGAGCCCGAGGCAACCGTAGCCCGCGCGTCGGCGCGTTTTGTGTAAGGCTTGTCCTTACAATTGGGGCACTCGAAACGTCGGTACCCTTGCTTCCCACAGCCAAAGCATGTGCCGGGGAAGTTGCCTTTTCCGACGGCCGCATTGATGCTGGCCGAAGCTGCGTGCGTTGAGGGTGCACCACCACGTGCCCCACCGCGTCCTCAACCTCGGGCCGAGAAGAAGTTATTTAGCTCGGGCCGACGGGCCCGGCTGATGTCGAGGATCTGCTCGACCTCATTGGCACGCTTGTCAGCGTCTTGCCACGTGGTGAAGGTCTCGAGCTCGATCTTGCGGTAGACGCGGGAGGGGATGCCGCTCAGGTACTTGTCGCGTAGCTCCAGGTCCCCATACCCAGAGCGGTCCGCCGGACCCTTGAACAGCGCGGAGAACTCCGCCGCAGTGCGTTTTTCACGGACCGATTTGTCCGCGCAGAGCTTCGCCAGCTCTACTTGTGCTGCCGCCTCGTCGTCGAGATTTCCGAAGCGGGCCTTGAAGGCGGCGGCAAAGGCCGCTTCGTTTGCGAATGGGGTCGTAGCCCCTTGCACACCTATCTGCACCGATACGAGCTGGGCGAAGTAGGGGGTTGCCCAGGCGCGGGCATCACCGTCGAGCAGGCTCAGCGCAACCTGTACTTTGAGCTCGATGGTGGTCAACGACGTGTTGACCATCCAGTAGATGCGCAGCTGCGACAGGAACCTGTCGCAATCAATGACGGTTTTGCCATCGT